CGCCCGACCAACGCCGTGCACTCAGCCCGGTGTGCAAGGAGCCCTTCCTCCTCATACTGAACATGTGCGAGCGGCAGCTGACCTGGCCGCACCAGATCATGCAGATGTGGTGCGCGTTGCCCCCGAAAGAAGAAAAACAGATAGCTGGAGATGAGCGGCGCATAGGGCCGATGTCGAAGACGATGCGAGTTTCGGGGGAATGGCGAGAAACAGGTTAACGGAATGGTGTGACCGAAAAGCTGGGTTCTGGGATGCTGCGGTGAGAGAGAGTTCGGCGCTGCAGTCAGCGTTGCTCACGCTGGTCTTGGACGAAACCCGAGCCAATCTAGATGAAGCTAGCCAAGCTAGGTTCTTCCAGGACTCGGAGAAGTTCCACGATCTGGTAGATCTGGGGCTCCTAGCTATACGAGCCTCAGAAGTAGAATACCCCCCAGTCGAGCTGCACATGTGCATCATGTCATACCCGTGCCCTCGACCCATCAAGGCCAATAAGATCTTCAGTGGCTTGATCATTCCAGATAACGGCATGGTCCCCGGCTGTTGCAAAGCCAATCATGGAGCTCGAGCCCTACTGTACCATGCACTAGAGGAAGTACACCTTGCTGTGCCGATAGCGAGATTGAGGCAGTTCGCCGGTGACAACGGTGCGCGTCGAGGGGCCCGACGACGCAGCGGGAGCAGCGGCGTCGAGAGCAGCGAGCGTTCTGGTTGGAGGCTGTCTCAAGGCGAAGCGCAAGATCTCCAACAAGTCCACCATCCTGGCCCAGAACCCCCAGGGCGCCCTCGAGGTTGAGAGGTCTCTGGAAGAGCTCAACATGACCATAAAGAAAGGGAAGGAGATGCAGGACCTGGGGGCCGACAACGCCATGGGGCAACGTAGATCCAGAGAAACGGCTTCGAAGCGGAGTAGGTTGGGCAAAATTCGGGCCATCGGGGCACGCTGGTTCGCCAGTTTGGGGCGCGCGCGTAGAAAGAAAAGCAAGTTGCCATTGAATGCTAACGCGCGGGCTAAGATGCCCCACGATGGCCTCCTGTTTGCCCCCCCCCCCCCCCCCCGACCCAAGTCCGAAAGCGGAGAGCTCCTGCAGCGGACTTAGCTGGTTTCGGAAAGAAAGGCCGATGCACGGCTGCGGTCATGCTCTTGATTTACGAGGAGGGGGGCCCGCGGGCTGCGCGCGCGAAGCGCCAGGCCAAAGAGTGGCCGCACTTTGGGGCCCACAACCCCTCCCTCAGGCAGCAGGTTTGGCGGGGGTGGTCGGCCGCCAAGTAAAAATTAGCCCGTCTAAAACCCCGGTCACGATGGCGAGCAGCGTCAGGGCCCATGGGGGCCATGCTGCTCACCCTTCGGCCCCTGGGATGGGTTGGGCTCGAACGTGATGTTTGGGAAGGCCCCGACGGTGGCGAGCGGCGCTTCAGCCCCGACCTGTCCGATGACGCTGAAGAAATACGTAGCGCCCTGGCCCAGTCTGTCATGCAGCAGTTGTGCAAGCAGGCAGCCCAGCACAGTGAAGGGGCTTGCCTGAAGGACGGGGGTGACCTCACCATGTTGCGTTTGAATGTCAAGCGCATGCGTAAGAAAGACATGTTTCAGGAAGCGGGAGCCCTGGAAGGGGATTGCACCTGCAACAATTTGGAATGGCGATCGCCAGCGGAGAGTTGGATATCACACCGAAGGCCTGCGTGTTAAATGTAGCCTAGGGGCCCCTGGTACCACCCGCCATAGAACCCATGAGCGCCCTTGTCTGGCCCAAATGGAGCACCCCTGGATCTCCAGGGCCGCGCACTTGTGCGAGCGAGCGATTCGCGACCCCGATCGCGGGATAATGCTTCCTTCTGGCTGCGAGGGATCGCCCCCCCATCTTGGAACCCCCGTGCCTCCCCCACCAGAGTGGGGGGATGTGAATGCCTGGCGCGCGAAAGCCGTTGTCACCCCGCCCCCTGCCACCGGCCCCAGCTGAGAGGTGATTCCGTGCCAGAGGCTCGAGGCGAGAGCTGGATTTTGGGATGGGTCTGGCGCGTCGTCTGATCCGCGCGTGGCTCGCGTTGGCGGGGGCGTGTGCCTCCAGATGGGACCGCGTGCGCCCCCTGTTCCTGAGGCCTCCGACCCCTCCCCTCCCTTTCCAGGGTGGTATGGGGGAGTCGACGGCCGCCAGACCGCCCCCGCGGCAGAGCTGGCCGCCTCGCGGTGGCGTCTGCAGCTCACGACAGGGGACATTGTGATATACACCGATAACCAGGCTGTGTTTGACGGGTGGCACGGGGGCCGAGTTGATGACCTCTGCGGAGCGCTCAGGGGCCGGTGGCAGAGAGCGAGAGCTGCAGCCAGAGCCCGACCAGGGGTTCCCTCCGCAAGTGCTACGCCCATCTCGATGCTCAGTCCCACCTCCGTTGCCCCCAGTCCCCTCTCGTCTCTCGCGGGTATGATTTGGCCGATGCCTTTGCCCAGAGGGGGGCGGAGGAGGCGGGCGCGGCCATCAGAGGCGAGGTCAAAGCCCTAGGCGTCGCGGACGCCTCGGCCACCCTCACCCAGCAGCGCCTCGCCGCGGTGGCCAGAGAGTACGCGGCGCAGGACCGCGACCAGTGGTCACGGACCCCCGAGGGGGGGGGGGGGGCAGCTTCTAGGCGGGCTGTCGAGCTCGAGCGCGAGTCGGGCCACAACTTGGGGCCATTGGCCAACGGGGCGTGGGTGCGCCGTCGGCGCCGTCTTGGGCCGCCTCCTGGGTCGTCTCTGATCACTTGGCTCGGGCTCGAAAATAACCGCTGCAAAGGAGACCCCACCCAGCGGCATCTGAGCGCGAGTGATAATGTTGTGTTAGTTCCCCGCCCTGTGGCCGCGGAGTTGAGGACAGCCAACAGGCACGTGCACCCCACCCGTTGCGTGGCCGTGCGCAACGGACAAGTTTGGTGTTGGAAGTGCGCTGGTCTGGGCTCCGTGGTGAAAGGGGGGGGACTCTTGCTCCTGGCAGAGCCGTGCCGTGGTTGGACAATCCCCTCGGGGGATAATTACCTCAGTCGATTGCGCAAGGCCCCCCCCCCAAAAGGGCAACAAATGGTTCAATGAGAAGGGAGCGGGACGCCTCCAAGTTGAGGCAGGCTCGAGCGTGATCAAGTCCTTTTTGAAACCCAAGTCTCGGAGATAGATTGCTATCGAGAGCCGCCCCCCCGATGGGGGGTGTAACTGTCCAGCTGTGGCCTCGCTGCTGACTGGCACCCTTCAGCATTATCCCAGCATGTTCCTCCTCCTCCTCCTCCTCCTCCTCCTCCTCCTCCTCCTCCTCCTCTTCCTCCTCTTCCTCGTGCCGCATTCCTCCTCCTCCTCCTCCTCCTCCTCCTCCTCCTCCT